AAGGGTTACCACCGGTCAGAGAACAGGAGCATGCAATTCTTCTAAGGGAAGGGGTGTCACCGAGTAGTGTACGACCCTACCGCTATCCCCAGATTCAGAAAGATGAAATTGAAAGGTTGATTAGTGAAATGTTGGAGGCAAGAATCATCAAACCTAGTGTGAGTCCTTTCTCTAGTCCCGTATTACTGGTCAAAAAGAAAGATGGAAGCCAGAGATTTTGTGTGGACTATAGGGCTTTGAATAAGGAGACTATTCCAGATAAATTTCCCATTCCTGTGATTGATGAACTTTTGGATGAACAGTATATAGCAGTGATATTCTCCAAACTGGATTTGAAGTCAGGATACCATCAGATCCGGATGAGGGAGGAAGACATCTCTAAGACGGCGTTCAGGACACATGAGGGACATTATGAGTTTCTGGTTATGCCGTTTGGGCTTACCAATGCCCCTGCGAATAGGGTGTTCAGACCGTATCTCAGGAAGTTTGTGCTTGTGTTTTTTGATGACATCTTGGTGTACAGTAGAACTGAGGAGGAGCATCTAAAGCATTTGAAGTTGGTATTGGAAGTTCTACAGGAGCATCAACTGAGAGCCAATCTAAAGAAGTGTTGTTTTGGCCAGTCTAGGGTGGAATACTGGGGCCATGTAGTATCCAGGGAAGGGGTGGCAGCTGATCAGTCAAAGGTGGAGGTAATGTTGAGATGGCCATTACCTAAGAATCTGAAGGAATTGAGAGGATTCTTAGGGCTGACAGGATACTATAGGAGATTTGTTAAAGGGTACAGTACTATAGCCTGGCCACTAACAAAGCAGCTAAAGAAAGATGGATTCCTATGGGGAGAGGCAGCCACAGCAGCATTTGAGACACTAAAGAAGGCTATGACCACGGTACCAGTCCTAACTCTATCGGACTTCACTCAGACCTTCATAGTGGAGACTGATGCTTCAGGATACGGATTGGGGGCAGTGCTCATGCAGAATCGGCGACCCATTGCCTACTTCAGCCAGGTATTAGCAGCCAGGATGAAGTCAGTCTATGAGAGAGAATTAATGGCTATTGTATTAGCCATCCAGAAGTGGCGACCCTACCTATTAGGTAGGCATTTCATTGTCAGAACAGATCAGAGAAGTCTGAAGTACTTGTTGGAGCAGCGGATGGTAACTAAAGAGCATCAGCAATGGCTTTCAAAATTGTTGGGGTATGACTTTGAAATTCAGTACAGACCAGGCGGGGAAAACAAGGCGGCTGATGCCTTGTCCAGATGTTTTGGTGAACTACAGACAGTGGTTGTGTCTATTCCTTTGATGTTAGATTGGGAGGCAATCAAAGTAGAGAGCTCGAAGGATGAGGAGTTGGGAAAGATCAGCGCTGATTTATTAAGGGAAGGTGATAGCCACCCAGGGTACTCAGTAGAGGGGGACAGATTGCTGTATCAAGGGAGGTTCGTGATGCCTAGGACTTCTATCCACATCCCAAACATACTCCAGGAATTTCATGGGAGCGCGGTTGGGGGTCATTCTGGTGTGCAGAAGACCTACAGGAGGATTGCTGCTGAGCTTTACTAGAAGGGAATACATAGAGATGTAGAGGAGATGGTGGCCAGATGTGAGATTTGTCAGAGGAACAAATACATGGCTATGTCACCAGGGGGGCTACTACAGCCGTTGGCGTTACCAGGACGAGTATGGGAGGAGATATCCATGGACTTCATAGATGGGATGCCCCGTTCAAAAGGCTTCATAGTGATCCTGGTGGTGGTGGATAGACTGAGCAAGTATGCTCATTTTATTCCCCTCCGACATCCTTACACTGCAGTAACAGTGGCTTCAGCCTTCATCAGAGAGGTGGTCAGGTTGCATGGGGTACCAGAGGCAATAGTGTCAGATAGAGACAAGGTGTTCCTCAGTCACTTTTGGAGGGACCGAGGGAGTTGTTCAGGTTACAAGGAACAGTTTTGAAAAGGAACACCGCTTATCACCCACAAACAGATGGCCAAACGGAGGTGGTTAACAGGAGCTTGGAAACCTACTTGAGATGTTTTGTGTCGGAGACACCTAAGCTTTGGGCCAAATGGCTATCCTGGGCAGAATACTGGTACAACACCTCTTTTCACTCAGCTTCACAAATGACGCCATTCAAAGTACTGTATGGAAGGGAGCCCCCTCACCTAGTGCACTTTGGGAATAGTAGTACTCCAGTTTCTTCAGTGGAGGAGTACTTGGGGGAAAGAGATCGGGTACTAGAAGATTTAAAGAAACATCTACTGAGCGCACAACAAATCATGAAGAAACAGGCGGACTCACACAGGAGGGACATGCAATTTGAAGTGGGGGAAAAGGTTTTTCTAAAATTACGACCTTACAGGCAGAAGACAATGGCGAGAAGGAGAAATGAGAAATTAGCTCCAAGGTACTTCGGGCCCTATGAAGTGTTGGACAAAATTGGGGCAGTGGCGTATCGACTGAAGCTTCCCCCATCAGCTATCATACACCCAGTTTTCCACGTGTCACAATTGAGGAGAGCTATGGGGGAGCATACAGTTAGTACGGCGTTACCACAGTTGAGGAGAGTTATGGGGGAGCATACAGTTAGTACGGAGTTACCAAAGACACTGACGGAGGATTTGCAGGTGATATTGGAACCACTGGAGCTCCGAGGTGTCAGGTCAGATGAAAAGGGAGAAAAAGAAGTGCTGATTGGATGAAAAGGCCTCCCCGAATTTGATGCTACTTGGGAGTCGTTTGAAAGAATGAAAAAGCAATTCCCCTCTTTTCACCTTGAGGACAATGTGAGTTTTTGGGAGGGGAGTAATGATACGCATGTGCCGGCCCAGGAGGGGCTGGCTGGACCGATCCAGTCCGGACAGGTCCAGGTCTACTCGCGGCGGACGAAACAGGGAAGGGGGGCGCAAGTAAGGTGGGCCCCATGGGGGGTTTAATGCAATCTTTTGGGGGGAAATTTTGAATGTAAGGGCTCTTTAGGTATTTTGGAGAAATCCATCATTGTTAATTAGGAGGTTTTGGGGGGAATTAGGATTATGTGGAATTTGAATTGTTTTGAGATCTAGGGTTTGGTGTTCTTGGGCTCTTGGCTTCGCCAGAGATCTTTGGAGAGTTTTTCTTCCTCTCGAATTGAAGGAAAGTTGTATCTTGCAAGTGCTTTTCATCGTTAATTGAAATAAAAGTGTTAGCTTCGTTTTCCTACGAGTTCTCCTACGTTTCCTCTCAGTTTTCCTTGTTTTTTTTTGCTGTTTTTCTGCTGTGGACAGAAATTTTCTACTGGATCTACTTCAGTTTGGCTAGGAACACTTGTGAATCCAAGTGTTTCCTATCACCTTCATTATGAAAGGGGAATTATCAACTCTTAAAAGAAGACGAATAATAATATAGTGGCATTTTAGGTTGGGTCACCCTAGCTTTTCATATCTCAAATTGCCAACAACAAAATAAAGGTGCATTTTAATGTAAAGTCAATCAACTTTCAAACACCTATTTTTAAATCTAAACCTTATAAAATTAAGTCTTTAGTACATAGTGACACTTGAGGCCACCTAAGATTCCACTTTCATTGATGATCATACCCATTAGTGTTGGATAAACATATTAAAAGACAAAAATGTTGCCAAATTAACTTTCAAAAACTTCCACAATATAGTTAATACTCAACACTCTGCCAATAACCAAAATTTGCACTCTTCTAGAGGCACATGATATTTCTACCAAATTTTAGGAAGTTGCTTAAATCAAAATGGCATTATTTCTCAAAGCCTTGTTTCAATGCTTCACAATAAAATGACAGAGCTGAAAGAAAAAATTATCACCCTTAGAAAGTCTCCAGATTCATCATGTTCACAACCTGATACAAGATACCTCATGTTATTCAAATATACTCGTACTTTATCTTATGAGGAAATGTATTTCATAAAAAATAAAACTATTGTTAAAGATTTAGAGTGGACTTTAAGTAGCTTCTTCAAGAGAATTTGAAGTTTACTTGATTTAGCTTTTCCAAGAAAAATTGGTGCAAACGTGAAGTTGTTCCTTCGTCAAGACTCGTTAATTCAACCCTTTAATATGAGAAGATGATGAAACAACATTTTCAATGCATGAACAATAAAAGATGAAAAATCAAGAATATGAAAAGAAGAGACATGCACTAAAAGTTGACGCTAGATATTTGGGAGAGCCAGATCCTCCTCTCCAATTGAGGACCATATTTTATCTTATTTTTCTTTGCATCTTATTTTAATAAAAATATTTTGTGAGTGTTCTTCTTCCAAACTTCTTGTGTGTTGTCCGCTAATTTTACAAAAAGTGTATATGTTTCCTGACAGTGATTTACATAAATACAATAGAATTCATGCCTATCTATATATCTAACATTCAAAAACTTCTTATTTCCTCGCATACCACCAAAAATGCCTCAAAATGATCACCCTCACTCATCATCATCATTAACATTATCCCAAACTTTTATGTCAGCAAATTACCATCTTGACTAATATAAGTAACCACTCTGCCTTCTCCAACATTAACCCTTACGCATGTGAATCCCTCTCTAAAAATGCTAGATGACCAATGAGTTTCATTGTTCCTAGCATCCCCCTCGATTTGACATATGTCCATCATGATATTTTCTCCAAAACAATAGCATCCCATGAGATCATCACATGTTCCTGGTGATCCCTTCTTCGTCAATCAATGCCCTTGGTAATTTTACAAAACAATTTTGTTTTCCTGCTAATGCTCCTTTTTTTTAGTTACAATTTTTAAATAGGACAACCCTAAAATGTTCTTCTTGTTCATTTTTATATGCTCTTTTCATTTTTCTTATTCTCTATTCTGTATAGCACCATCACAAATATTAATTGTCCTTCAACTGTTCCTGCCTGTTTTACCAAAACCCTCATATTGTTCCAAAAGGAACACTATTTTAGATTAGGCATCCAAGTTCACTAAGTTCTTTAGCTCAAGTTATTTCACCATGTTATTTTTATCCTCATGCGACTCTTCTTAAATCACAATCCTATGATTTAATAACAGGGAATTCAGCTTGGAGCAAAGGTGAAGAGCATTTTGTTTGTCACATTAAACCGAACCATACAGTAACGTGACAGTACATGAGGTTAGCAAAGTAATTACCTTCGATGCATTTAAAGGAAATTGATGGTATGAGGAATTACACTGAGTTTTGACTGTTATCTAAATAGATATGAACTTCATGAATGCAAAACCCCACCCATGCCACCCCACCTTTTTTACAAAGTGAAGCTCATGAATCATATGGAACGCTGCATTGAGACTTGCTTACTGATTATAAACAACAATATACTATTAGGTTGGTAAATCTTTAGTATACAATGATCCGCCAGAAGTTCTTTCCCGCTACAACAGATTCTTTTAAAATTTTTAAATTTTCAAATGTCACATTTCAAATATGAGTATGCATCATACTTGCTGCTCTCTGCAAGCACCAATGTGGGTGTGTTGAGGGAGAGAAAGAAAGAGAAGTTTTTCAATGATGTACCATCCTTCAAGATTAAATAAAAAAGAATAAGATGTAAAAGAAATCTAAATGCAACATCACTAAATAAGCAAGTTTATGCACCAAAATGAAGTGGGAGCAAGAATGATCTAGTTTCAAGCTGATTCAAGTCCAGCCCGAACATAGCTTGAATCGATTCAATCTCTAGCCGACTCAACTTGAATCAGCTCGATTTTGGGCCGGCTCAAAATTGAATCGAGCCAACACAAAGGCAGTATTATTTCTTCCTCTTTCATATATATATACATTGGGCACATCATGAGCAGGCTCTATCTATTCTAAGACTGACTCAAAATCACATCAAAAATCAGTTTGGCCTGATAATCTCTCTACTCAAATGTGAAGCAACCCAAAATATAGCAAATCAAACTTTATAAATATATATATTTAATTGCATTACTAATTATTTAATTAATTTATATTAATTATGTTAAATTAGATTATTAGATGGAGGCCCTCTAGGGTTTGCTTTTCAGCTGTTAGCCTGTTGCAATTTCTTCGTTGCTGCTTCGGCCTCACCAGCTTCGCGTGAAGCAGTGTGTTGAAATAGACGCTAAAGAAGCTTCTCTTGGCATCCTCCTTCGACGACGTCGGATCGGAAGTCACGTCGGGAGCTCGCTCGCTGCGAAGGTAACCATCTTCACCTCCTCCTCCTTCAAGACGGGAGCTCGCTCGCTCGCCGAGGGAGAACTTCGCAAATTCGTAAATCCCGGATTTCCGCCGAACGACGGGATTTACGCCCGCGCAAACCGTTTGGAAATATTTACAACAAATCTGGCGTAAATCTTGCTTAAACCCCGCTACCAAACAGCCCAAGAGAGAACAATTCCAGAAAGTAACAAACATAATCGAATACGATATAGGTCTTCTTACAAATTAGCTGGCACCCACAAACCATTATATTCTACCTTTTAACCTTAAAAAACTGCCATAAGACGAACACATAGATCTCAAACAAACCTAAATTCCCCTAGGAAACCAACACACCCTTTAAAAAGAAGGCATCTACGCACCAGATTATTGGCCTTTTTGAAGCAAAATCAAGATAAGAAAAGGGTGTCTAAGTCATAAGGAAACCCTATAGGCGTAGGTGAGGAGTGATGTTACGAACAATACCTGCATCCATTTGACCGTGTGTTCGCTAACGAGAGTGTTGAGGCTTCTGGCACTGCACTTCGTGGGGGAGATGATGGGGCCCAGCGTTTTGAGGAGGCCGGTGAGTCTCCTGGCGGCCATGATGCAACGGTACAAGAGCGAGCGAAAGAAGGTCGGGCCAACCGATGTACTTTTTCGATCTTCCATCGTAAAACTAAACAAAGATATTTATAGGAAAATCGCTTAAGTTTTTTTTTTTTTCCAAGGGCATTGATTTTATGTATCTATAATCTATAATTAATTAAATACATATGCTATTTATCTTTTATGTAAATATATCCAAAACTTTATGCGGGATCAAAATAATCAATATTTTTAATTCTTATCATAATTTATTTATTTAAAATCTAAAGTGAACAATTTTCATTCGAATATTAGAATTTGAACAATTTATGAACCTATTTTGAATTAGCTTTGAACTTTATTAAAAAAAATTGTACTTAAATAATTTTATATTTTTTATTACGATCAGCTCTATTATGTCTTATATCACTGGCACGCCAGAGGCTCCACTGAAAATACAACAAATTACACGCATTAGCCTATATTTGATAATATTTTATTTTTATTTTTTGTTGAATTTTCAAATAGTTTACCATATAGCTAACTTGGGAACCGCATCCATGCTAACCCTCCACGGAAGCATTTGAAAAATTAACCCATTATTGCCTATGATATCAATGTTGGGGTGCAATAGGAGTCATAGTTATATATTACCATGATTTGTAAGTAGTAAGATCTTACATATAATTCAATATATTTTTCAAGTTCATTGAAAAATGTATGAGCTCTTCATCACCCCTTTTTCGGAAATTTTTGTTCTCTCAGATGACAAACATTAGGATTTCTACAAATCACTAAGAGCCCTTCTTTTTTTAACTTGTTGTGTGTGTAGAGAGAGAGCTATATTATAATAAAAATTTATTATGTTTATCATGATTGAAGAGGGAACTATTTACAAAATAACAAAAACTTAGTCTTCACATATCATCCCTCGCCGTGCACTACGTGAATGTTTTCTCCATGTCAACATTGTTGATGTTCGAATAGTTAACTATTAGCATACAGCTTGTGCTCAGCTTCCCAAATTACTTCTCACATATAAATTCTCAAAGCTCACAGCAAATTATTAGAGAAAATTCAACAATTTTAAATTGTGTTATTTCTTTCAATGTTAAATATAATGAAATATCCCTCATCCTCTACATCATTAACCATTAGTAATAATTGATGGATGATGGCCCTAGAGAACTACAATTCATGAAATTTAATGAATTGAATAAAGAGGGGTCTCTCAACCTTGATAATGAGATTATTGCACTCAAATTATCGAGCCACTTGCTTCTATCAAATCTCGAGTTATGTATGTGAATTAAGCAATATAATACTTTGCAAATATGATTAGAGTAAATATCTAAAAATATTTAAAATTGATTCAATTTTATAAAAACATAATGAGGGTAGATAAAATGGCTTAAATCATGACCAAATCATAATAGGATCATGCTAAAACCGTTATTGAGCCATATTCAAACCATGCTCGAACCTTATCTTAAAATTGCATCAACCATTATTGAACCACATTTAAACATTACACAATAGTACATCATGGTGTTTCCATTAACAAGTATGAGGGCTCATATAGTCGATGTCATCATCATCACATATAATGGAAGGTCACCACATCACCATTTGCAAGTGAGAGGTTCACATAATCAAGGTATCCATCTTTGATTGTGAGTGTCGCATACTCATGTAATGTTGCATGTTCATGCATGCGAGGGTTGAAAAGCAACAATGTAATATAGTGTATTTTGAATTTGCTCAATTTTGTTGAATTTGAAATATAATAAAATTGAATTCAGGGATGTGCTCCAAATTCCTCAATAAAATACTTGACATTTATTTTTCTTTCAATCATACACTTTAAATTTAAAAATACTTTCATATAGTATACTTTGCACTGGAAAACAAATAGGATATTTGATTTGCTGTAAAATAAGATTTAGTGAATCCTCTTTTTGATATTTGAGTGGTCGTAAATTAAACTCATCAAATCTTACAGGCTAGAACAAGAAAAACAATTGTGACAATGAGTTATGTGCATAATCTCCAAGATGATGATGGTGTGGATGTTGAGGAACATATGTGATCAAGGCGTCGACGTTGATGAGGGTTTTTTCTGAGTTGTGTATAAATTATTATGTAAAGAAGAGTAACTCGTCTTTTTCGTGAGTCTATACTCCTAATTACTCATTTCTATGTTCTTTAGATTTGGACTTCTATCTACTTCTTCTAGGGTTTCCATCTTCTCTTTCTCTATTCTTATTCATTGTGGTTGAGTTCTATGAATGTATTCGATAGGCATAAAATATCTTGCATCGTTTCTACCTATTAATATAAAAACGATAAACACTTGGAGTGTTTATAATATGAGTTCTCATTGAGGACATGTACATGATTGCTAGTTATGTACAAATGTCTACAATTCATTGAAAAGGGTAGAGTTCCAATATTTTTTCATCGTTAAAGATGAAATGCTTCAATTAGTTAGGAGCGTAATGGCATGCTTTAAGAATAAGCAACTTTTATTACACTCCATGAGTTAAGATAAATTCTTGAGAGGATAGTGAATAAGTATGCTACATGAATTCTAAGTTGATATGGCACCTTTTCCATATGAAGGAAAGAAGCACACGACCGTTAAAAATGTATTCATCCATTAAGAAAAAAATCATAGCAATCAAGAGAGCGTGTCAGACTCCACATCTCAACAAAATTAACGTACAAGTGTTACAACTCGACCCGATATAACCCATAGACAAAATGAGTCATATCGTGTCAGATGGTGACATGACAAATTCTCAAAGATCTAATTGGAGATAATTATAAAATTTTAAATAATTTATAGACTATAGAGAGTCAGAGACACTAATATTTCAATAATAAAAAACTCAATGTCAAATGTTTTTTTATTCATCTAATAAATACTTACAATCATAATAATTATATACAAACAGACTAAACAATACATGACATAAACAATATATATCAAAGGGAAAAAGTCACGATAATCAAAATTTGACTAATATACCTAGAGTGATCTTTGGCTTGTTAGATTCGTCTCGTCGAGCCGTTCGATTTGAGTATAAGCTCGTTAAAAACGGAGACCGTTTGGTATCTCAAATTGCGGTTTGAACCTTCCAACAGTGCTTCGGGTCCATGATTCAGACCCATTTGGACTCGGATCTAGTTGAATTTGGTGTCGTTGGGTTCGTATTTCCGAGACGCTCAGTTTGACTATAAGTTTTCTGAAAATCGGAGTTCGAATGGTCTCCGAATTAATTTTTGAAGTTTCCAAACTTGATTTTTGCCTCAAGATTCGTGCCCGATCAATATAATTTTTCAACGACGTATCAAATATAAAAAGGATAAACACTTGGAGTGTTTATAATATGAGTTCTCATTGAGGACATGTACATGATTGCTAGTTATGTACAAATATCTACAATTAATCAAAAAGGGTAGACTTCAATATTTTGTCATCGTTAAAGATGAAATGCTTCAATTAGTTAGGAGCGTAATGGCATGCTTTAAGAATAAGCAAATTTTTTATTACACTCCTTCCTGAGTCAAGATAAATTCTTGAGAGGATAGTGAATAAGTATGCTACATTAATTATAAGTTGATATGGCACCTTATCCATAAAAATGAAAGAAGCACACGACCGTCAAAAATATATTCATTCATTAAGGAAAAAATCATAGCAACCAAGAGAGCGAGTCAGACTCCACATCTCAACAAAATTAACGTACAAGTGTTACAACTTGACCCGATATAACCCATAGACAAAATGAGTCATATCGTGTCGGATGGTGACATGACAAATTCTCAAGGATTTAATTGGAGAGAATTACGAAATTTTAAATAATTTATAGACTATTGAGAGTAGAGACACTAATATTTCAATTAAAAAAAACTCAATGTCAAATGTTTTTTTATTCATCTAATAAATACTTACAACCACAATAATTATATACAAACAGGACATGACATAAACAATATATATCAAAGGGAAAAAGACATGATAGTCAAAATTTGACTAATATACCTAGAAAACTAATATCTCAAAAATTTGTTACATGTCCTTATATATATATATTCATTTTCCAAAAATTATATACACTACTTAAATGACGGTATGTGGTTTGGACATATAATGACTTTTAAAAAACATTATTTAACATCATCAAAATATGAGCTATTACATCTTCCTCTTATCATGACCTGAAACAAATACAAAAAATAGGTACAAGCAATCATAACTCAGTAGACCATAATCAACCTACTCAAGACTTTAATAGTTGCCACCAATAATAAAATATAAATATTCATTTAAAATAAATTCATCCATGAAGAGGTCCAACCATATTGCTCAAAATAAATCGATGTCTGCATAGCAGTAAGTAGCATCTCTAAAAGTATTAATAAAAATAACAAAATACTAAGGAAATATAATAGTAAGCACTTCATATTCATATATCAGAATTTATCCCTGACAACATATATCATAAATAAAAAATTTAGGCCCTTATGACTCAATGTGTTAGCATATCTGATAGCATGCCCTTATTACTCACAAATGCATTGCACCATGGATATTTAGAAATTCCAGACCCTTATAACTCCCAACAAATATTATGTCAGAGTTTCATCAAACCATCAAAATTCATCCCGATTTACAGATTTCAATAATAAAAATACAAAATAAATATATTTTCAAATATAGTACACAGACTTAGAGTTATCACAGAGCTTCATGTAGCATTCTACTAACAATCAAACAATTAGAAATTTGGGGGAAAGTCATGTATTAAATATAACAATTTTAAAAAAAATTATCAGATAATCACACATTGTTCATAGCTATATTTCGTAACTTTTATTGCACTACAATACTATTTATAATTGTTAGAATAGTTTTTCAAATCATTAAAATGAAGTATTTTAAAAATTGCTCAATTAAAGTTCAAAAATAAAATACTAGAATGTGCATAATATTGCTAGCAATGACATATCAAAAATTATATAGTGAAATTTTGCTCAATAAACATATAAACCTAATATTGCATTAAAATTTCAATTAAAACATTAGGAAAATTCAGAAAACTTCAAATTATTAAAAATTGAAATTGACAAA